GCCACGCGTCCTCCGGGACACCCCCAAGTAAATTCTCTCTCTCACTCACCAGCCTGGGCGCCTCTACTGTGGGGGTCGTACCCCCATCCCCAACCGTGCTGCCCCTGGCCCCAGAAACCACCACCGGACCAGACCCAGTGACCTCCCCCACCCGAGCCCAAACCTGACTGCAATCGCCGTCTCTCCTTCTCCCTACACCCCAAGAATCAATTAGCTGCTTGATGTTATCTAAAAGCTCCCCCGACTGTTGCAACGACCAAGTCTCACATTCCGTACCCCTTGCTGCCGAAGGCCGTGGGGTTGCTGACTGACTGCCTATGTCCTGCCCCAAGCGTTCCGCTGCTCCTGGCCGTATTCCTGACGCACTGGGTCTCACCCAATCCGTGGGGGACCTGGAAGACAGCCTGCCTCCTCTCCGGGGAACTCCCGCTCATGGAACTGTCGTCCTGCCGCGTCCATCCCCTTGTCCTGACAGGGGGCGCCCTATGCCTCCCCTGGGTGTGGTCAACCCCGCAGGGGTCCCTGTCGACTACATCAGCCACCCTCCTATGGCTGCTTCGCGACCGGTTCCTCCTAGCATCCTGCGCGCCCTTTGCTCGAGCCTTGCGCGCTATCCTCTTGGAGGGTGCTGACCTTCTGCGCTGTCCCTCGCTGGCGCTCCCTTCCGATGCTTCCCTGACTACCTGACTCGCCTGACGTCGTCCCCCGCCCGGTCGTATGGGAGACCATGGCGAAGAGCTGCGCTCTCGCACGCTGACTGGGGACCCTCTGTGGCGTCTTGTAGCACTGTACCCTTCTGGTCCGCTCTGTGCCCTAGCTGTCCCCTGCCTGCCTCCTGCCACCCTGCCATCACCAACCATGCCAACACAGGGGCCCACCCCCGGGGTAACCCGTGGCCCAGCAACTGGAGGGGCAATGGCGTCAGAGGTCGACTCACCCGGGCGATGTGCAGCAGCTGTCCCCGCTCCACCAACAGCGCTTCCAGCGTTCCCGGGACCTGCTGCCAAGCCTGCCGTACCGCTCCTCCTTCTTCCGCTGGCCCGTGCCTGTAATGGCCTCTTTCCGGGACTCCTGTCACCAGCAGCCACTTCTCCTTCCTTCCCTGCAAAAGAGGACACAAAAACCGAATGTTCGGCAGTTTTCCTGCCTCCCCGTTCGGCAGCCGAGTGGCCGGCAGTATGGCTATCTCCCCGTTCAACTCCCGAACGTTCGGCAGTTTTCTCACCTCACCGTTAAGGAAACGAACGGTCGGCAGTATCAGTACCTCCACGTTCAGCAGTTTCCGCCCATTCGCCAGTTCTCCTACCTCCACGTTCATCTCCCAAACGTTCAGCAGTTTCAGATTCGGTTCCTGAACCAGCAGCCTGCAATTCCAGCCTCGCCTGACGGTGTGTTCGCACGGCTGCACTGCAACGCTTTCCTCAACGCTTTCCTCGACCTCCTCCACTTGCAGCCTCCCTGCCGCCATTGGGACCTCCATAAGGGCTCCTCGGACGCCGGGAACCGGGAACCACGCTGGGGCTCAACCTCTGCGGGGGCCTCGTCCTCCTGACCAGCCTCTGACCCTGGGAGCTTCCATATCTGGATGGCAGATCCATCCCAGGCGATCCCTCAGCCACTCAACTCCCCTCTCCTGCACAGCAGCCCGGAGTCCCTCCAGCCAATCTTCCATCTTGCTGACAACCTGCAGAGGAGACAAAATAAAAAAGCCACACAAATCCTGCCACAACAACAGGTAAGTGCAACTAAGATTAAAGTGGTCCCTAGTTCTAAAATGGCCACTACTTATACTCCCCTTATAACTCCACCCCACACCATTTCCTTAGACCAATCCCTGACCACTGACCCTTAGATGCCTGTCTCCTGGCAAAGTCAAGGCCCACTCCCCTTAGCTACGCTGCTCCATGGGCTACAAAAATGTAGTAGTATATTAGAAGAAAGTTGAGGTGTACAAATTGAGTACATATAAATTTGACTTTAAGGTTGTTTAGTTTCAGATAATAATATCAATACTTACCATAATTTTCTTTTCCTGCCTATTCTTCATAGCAGCATCACTCAAAGGTAGCTCCTTCCCAGCCAACCCAGGACAGGAATTAATAATCTTATCAGACTGTTTGATATAAAAGGTCCCTCCTTCCTTCATACCACAGTCTTTTTTTCCTCAGCCGGACAAACAAGAATTTTTTTCTAATAATATATTTATTTTTTTAGCCACCTCTTACGTTACCGTGGGTATACCAATTGAAGTTCAGCCTTTCTTCATTTGAAGAACTCAGTAAACAGGTCCCTCCTTCCTTCATACCACAGCCCAATTATAAAGCTAAAGGATACACAATGGGTGGAAACCTGATGCTACCATGAAAAATAGCCAGGAAAAGAAAATTATGGTAAGTATTTAATACATTTTCTTTATTCCTGGCTAATTATGGCAGTATCACTTATGGGTAACACCCAAGCTGTAATTTTAGGAAGGGTCTCATAAAACAGTCTCATAAATTTAATTTCTGCAAAAATATAACAAATTTAATTTAATAAATAGAAGACACTGAAAACAAAACATCCCTGCCAAAGGAGATGGAAAGAGATGCAACATCCAGTTTATAAATGTCACCGGCGAATACCAAGTTGCTGCCCTACAGATGTCATCATACAAAACCTCTGCCCAATTAGCCCATGAAGTATCCAAAGCTGTTGTGTTAGGAGTTCTTATCTTGTCTGGAGGAGGTAAGTTCTTGTGATGATATGCATTTTGAATGATTATAGAAATCCATCTTTTTAAGGTAGAAGCTGATGCTGCCTCGCCTTTTCTTGCTGCTGAAGGAAGAACAAATAGCTGTAGGATTTTGAGATTGCATGTTAATGAACCAGACACTCTTGTACATCCAAATTATGAAGTCTTGTTTCCGCTTCTGATTCTGAGTAGGAAAAAATGCAGGATTGCTTCTTGGGTCAGATGAAAATTCGAAACCACTTTAGGCAAGAATTCTTGATTAGTACGTAGACCCTATTATGGTAAACCTGAGTACAGTGGTCATCCACAGAGAAGGCTTTAATTCCTGATATTCATCTGGCTGAGGTCATAGCCACCAGAAATTAGGTTTTATACGTGAGCAGAGTAGTATTCAAACTTTGCAGAAGTGAAAAAGGACGTACAGTCAAGGTTTCCAATACCAGAGGAATATCACATGGAGGAGAGCAATTCCTTTTGGGAGGTCTAATCCTTAATGCTGCCTTGAAGAATCTAGCGATTAGTGGATCTGATGACCATGATATGTTGCATAGAGCTGACAAAGCTGAAAATTGTAGCCCAGGTTTTGAAGGTATCCCAAACTCTGTGATAACATTCAGAAGTTGGTCTTTTGCTGGACTTCAAGAGAGTATTAATCACTGCTTCTGAAAGGCCTATATTATTCAATCTCTCCTTTTAAAGAGCCATGTCCCTAAGTTCAGAAGTTCTGGATTGGGATCAAACACCGTCCCTTGGCTCAGTAGGTAAGTCCCCAGTGGTTGTGGCCAATGGTCTGTTAGGCTCAACTTGATCAACAAGGGGAACCAAGGTTGGCCATATCGAGATAACAGTTATCACCTTCCTTTCGACCATACTTTTCTCAGGAAACAATGTATCATCAGTAGTGGAGGGAATACATACCCCAGATTGAAGTTTCACCATTGTGATGGGGCATCTTGCCCTGCTGACAGTCGTTTTGGATGAAGAGAGTAAAACTTCTGACTCTGACAATTCTCTGCTGTGGCCATAAGATCGATCTGTGTTATGCCCCACCAGAGAGTGATTTCCCTGAACACCTTAGGGTGAAGTTTCAATTCTCACAGAAGAATGTTGATCTGCTTAGAAATTCTGCAATCTTGTTCTCTGTACCCAAGAGATTAACTGCCTTTAGACCCTGAAGACTGAATTGTGTCAATGCCATAATCAGAGACAATTCTTCTAGTCTGCTGCGGGTGCTACCTTGATTGTTTAAATTTGATACTACTGCCCGGTTGTTTGTTTTTATCAGAAGCCATGTGTTTGTAATGAAAGAAAGGAAACTTAGGATGGTTTTGTGAATTGCTTGTAATTTCCTCAGGTTGGAATGTAGACAACTATCTTTGTGTGTCCACTTCCCTTGTTTCCATAGAGAATTGTAGTGGGCATGCCATCCATAAGAACTTGCATCTGCCGGTATGGTGTGCCAAATTGGTTCTTCCAGAGAGAATCCTTGACTTAAGTTTCTGCTTTCTTTTCACCAGCTCAAATGTAATTTCACCAGAGGAGGAATGTGTATTATCTGTTCCCAGTCTGCACTCTCGTTGTTGAACTGATGAAGAAAACATCTTTGGATTGGTCTGAAACTCCATTGAGCCCACTTCACCAATCCTACTGTAGAGGTCATAGACCCCATCAAGCTCATAAGATTTCTTGCCGATGTATGCTTGATTCTTAAAAGACTTTGTCTTGTATCTTGAGAATTCTCTCTGGAGACAAGTTTACTTGTACCTTTGTTGTGTCTATCACAGCCCCTAGAAATATTATTCTCTGGAAAGGCGTAAGTGCACCCTTTTCTTTATTTATTTGCCATCTGTGATCTTGTAATATTCTCATGACAGATTGAGTGCGAAGAGTAACTGTCTGACAAGAAGGGCCCATTATCAGGGTATCGTCCAGTGAAACATTTTGATTACTTGTTTTCCAAAGAATGCAATCAAGGTAATGAGTGTCTTGGAGAAGGTTCTCACCACTGAACTGGAAGTGCTTTCCCAGAACCCAGAATCTTAGAAACTTGACATGGTTCTTGTGGACTGTAAATCTATTGACATCATCCATTATTCTTCCTTTATGTTTTTTATGATAGTAGAAATGAATTCCATCTTGAAAGTTCTTTTCATCAGCATATAATTTACTTTCTTCAGGTCTAAGATTAGTCTCCACTTTCCCTGAGACTGTGATGCCAGGAATACAGTAGAGTATATATCTTTGTACGAGATTTCTTTCGGGACTTCCTCTATTACACTTTGGTCTAGAAGTTTGAGGATGCATTCTTTCATGGCTTCTTCTTGAATTACTTTTGATACTCTTGATTTTATGAAGGTGTGTCTTCTTGGAAACGTCTCGAATTATATTTTACCCTTCCCTTATAATAGGTAGAAACCCATGTGTCTGTGATGTTTAAGGTCCAGATAGGATAGAACATCTGAAGTCTTCCTCCAATCTGCCCTATCTGAACCTGCAGACCTTTAGAAGTCTTTATTAGCAGTCCTAGGACCTTCCCCTTTTGTGCTTTTTGCAGAAGTTGTCTGTTGGTAACTCCTCCAGTTTGAGTTTCTAAAGTATTCTCTCCTGGGTCTGTAGGTTCTGGTTTCCTGAAAGGACCAATCCCTATATCTCTCATTGCTCCAAGAAGAGGAGAATTGTCTTCTTTTCTCCTGAGGCAAGAAGGCTTTTTTGAATGGCCTCATATAATACTTTACCAAATAATAAGTCTCCTTGGAACAGGAGACCACAAGGCAAAGCCTTAGAGGCATAGTCTGCTCCCCAGGAGTGTAGCTATAGAGCCGTTCTTGAGGCTACTGTCAATACCATACTCTTCGTAAGCATTTTAGTAACATCCAAGGAGACCTCCGAGCAAAACTCAATAGCCATCTTAAAATCTTTTAGGCTTTCTACCAGACTTTCTCTGCGTACTCCACTTTCAATATCTTCTTTTAGGTTTTCCATCCATACCTTGAGAGCCCTAGATAAAGTAGTCAATGCTACTGCGGTGTGTAGAGATGAACCCAAAAACAAGTAGGCTTCTGTGTCCAAACGTTTCTCCATCGGTTCTCTCAGGTATGCCATCAAATCAATTGGTCGAAATTGTGAGTGAGAGCGTGGGGCATGCGCACGGACGGGAGGTCCTTGGAGGTTTGAGTCAGACAGGCAGGCGCGTTGTGGAGCTGTAACCTGTTCTGCTCCCTCGTGCGCCCTCCAGTGATGCCGGGGGCTAAAATATGATGTCATTCCGGCCCTGGTATCACTAAACAGCGCTCTATGGAGCAGTGCAGGGAGATGACTGAAGCCCCACTGGAACCCGGGGAAAGCAGGACCTCTCCAGCTCTCCCAAAGGAACTAAAAGCAGCCATGGAAAAAAATTCTATACCAGCCCAATAATGCGTTGCACCAGCATAGTGTGCAGATATAGTGGGTGAAAAAATAACTTAAAATTGAAAACTATTACCCCAACGAAAGAACGCATATAGGGCTTCAAAATAAACAAAAGAGCACCTTTATTTAAAGCAGACGTACGTTTGCATGTAATCAATGTTTCAGTACAACTACTTTGGCTTATTAAGGACATTTTAGTAATGGGACTGAAATGCTGAGTGTCTGCGGTTGCACAACTGAAAAAAAAAATGAAGTTATCTTGTTCATTTTGAAGTCCTATGGGTGCGCTCTTCACTTTGAATATGTTATTGTGCATGAGTATGCAACTAGCAACAAGACTGGGCCAATACGTGCTCATTACATATATGTATATATTAATGACATTTATGTGTGTATTATACATACATAAATGTATATTAATATATGTGTAAATATTACAGGCACAATTATATATGTTACTAATACACACATCAATATACATTCATATATATATATATATATATATAAAATACAGAATCCAGCGCACTCGCTTTTTCACTAAACAATGATTTAAAATCTTAGAGATTGTAATAGTTTTATTTAAAAACACCTCACCTAGGCAAAAAATGATGGGGGTTTAGTTACATTATATGATCATACATTGCATAAGCCTGCCAACTACTTCAAAGTACCCCATATTCGGCAGGTCCTATCTTAGTAGCAGCCTAATGCTTTCTCTTATATATATATATGTGTGCATTACTGTCAGGATCATATCAATTACGTCTATTACGTTTACCTCGTTTAGTGTATCTTGTCTCCAATTGTCTCCTTTTTGTCTCTTACAGCGACCCTTGTGTATCTTTTACTTCATCCCAGCCCCAGTGTGTTTCTTTTTACCCTTCTCCAGCCTCTGTATGTCTTTCCCCCCAGCCCCTTTTGTATATGTCTTAGCCCCAGTCTCTTTATCCCCTTCCAAATCTCATCTGTGTGACTCTTTCTAACTCCAGACTCTGTGTGCCTCTTTCTCTTCTTCCAGCCACTCTGTGTCTCTTTTCCCCCAGCCCAGTGTTGCCTCCCACAAACCTTGTGTATCACTTTGTTCCCCTTCCCTTCCCTTCTGTATGTCTCTTTGTCCCCCCAACAAACCTTCTGTGTGCCTCTTTCTCCCGTCTCCTCCCTGTGTCTCTCTTCCCCATCTCCTCCTTGTGTCTCTCTCTTACCCCTCTGTCTCTTTGTCCCCCCATCTCCTGTGTCTCTCTATTACCCCGCTGTCTCTTTGTCCCCCTCTTCCCTGGTGTCTCTTTATTACCCCATCTGTCTCTGTGTTCTTCAAATGAAGAAAGGCTGAACCTCGTTAGGTAGGTAGATAATTTACAGATTTGAAAGGAATAATTGCAGTAGTGATTTAGAACCTAGAAACGCACCTTTCCCAGTAATGAAGAGCATTGCTTTAGAATGATTATGAGGGTGATAGGATCAATTACCCGTGATTGGGTTGTGGAAAAAAGTCTAACCATATATTTGATAATTTGTGGATGTAAAATTATGGATTTACTGCATTTTTTTAATTTGTGGGACTTTCTCAGAACAGGTTTTAATACAAGAAATCGTTATAAAACCCGAAAAAGGGACTATAGGCGTTACTACTTGTCATGGGTCGCAAGACCAAAAAAACAATTTTTTATGGGAGTGTCCTGGACCTGAGAGCCAATGTATATGTGTATTTGTTTCTACTGTGGTTTACTCTCAGGTCCAGGGAGGAGTGCCCCTTGCATGGGGACTGTCATAAAAGGCCAGTTGTGGCTACCATTAAACTGAGATTTGTTTAACCCTTCATGAAGTCTACGCTCATGTTTGGGGGATTGGAGAGCTATATTCACACTCTGGGAATTGCTATAATCACTATACTCCCTTGGATCACAACACTTGCTCTTATAAGAGCAGCCTGCTTTGCTCTCTAGACTAAGAGAGGTCTACCCACTGGAAGCTGGATCCTGGTCTTGGGTCCAGGGTGGGTGGAGGACAGCGAGACCCCAAGCAAGTTGCGGCAGTTTGTGGGGTTTGCGGTGGTTATGGTGTTCCAGTGCAGTGCTTATTGTGCTCACAAGTACTAGGAGGCAGTAATTGACGGAGGTACTCTGTCAGTGATTGACGGAAGCAATCCGTCACATACACTAACGCACACACACATGCCACATGTTTAAGTCACCCTTCTGTTTCCTACCTTTTAGGTGACAGGGCCCCCTGGTAATTCATTGCCATCGTGTGGCTCTAACAGCATGGGCCACCCGATGGACCCCTTTGATGCAGCCGGGCCGGGGCCGCAGCACATGGCGGCAGGCACCTGATGGCAGGGGTCCACAGGGTGGCCGGGCCCCCTGGAGTGACGGTCCCGGTCGCAGCTGTGACCACTGCGACCGCGGTAGTTCCACCACTGACTCTAAGTGAGGTCTCACCAGTGGTCTGTACAATTACATGTACAGAGAGAACTTCTCTCTTTCTACTGCTAATACCTCTCCCTATACAACAAAGCATTCTGCTGGCATTTTCTGATGCTCTATTACATTGCCTGCCTACCTTTAAGTCATCAGAAATAATTACCTCTCCTCAAATGTTGAGGTTAGGACTGTATCAAATATTCTATACTCTGCCCTTGGGTTTTTACGTCCAAGATGCATTATCTTGCACTTATCCACATTAAATGTCAGTTGCCACAACTCTGACCATTTCTCTAGTTTACCTAAATCATTTGCCATTTGGCTTATCCCTCCTGGAACATCAACCCTGTTACATATCTTAGTATCATCAGCAAAAAGACATACCTTACCATCAAGACCTTCTGCAATATCACTAATACAAATATTAAAGAGAATGGGTCCAAGTACAGATCCCTGAGGTACCCCACTGGTGACAAACCCAAGCTTCGAATATACTCCATTGACTACAACCCTCTTTTGCCTGTCACTCAGCCACTGCCTTAATCATTCAACAATATTGGAATCCAAACTTAAAGATTGCAGTTTATTGATAAGCCTTCTATGTGCAACAGTGTCAAAAGCCCTACTGAAATCTAGGTAAGCAATGTCTACTGCACCACCCTGATCTATTATATTAGTTACCCAATTAAAAAAAATCAATAAGATTAGTTTGACATGACCTCAAATTCACATAAGTTTGATTGTTGGTTGTTCACATACTGTTTGCCATATTGTGTATACAAATTATTAGCATGGTTTGCTTTAGCTAAATAGCATTTGGAAGTATGAGTCTGGGCAAAAGCTGCTAGTTATTTGACAGCCTTAAATGAACGATGTAAGTAAAGGGACACAATATACACTATAATCCTTTGCCTCAATTAACTAGTTATAGTGCATGGAGTTCCCTGATGTTCACATTCAGTGTTGAACGTACACTGTAGGCACTATAAGTGCTTCCTCTCATTGAAGTAAGTGGTTACAGTGTTTGTAATCCCCTGACAACATCCTTCCATTGATATTTAAAGGGACACTATAGTCACCTGAACAACTTCAGCTTAATGAGGTTGTTCAGGTGAGAACTATAGCTCCCTGCATCCTTTCTCATGTAAACACTGTATTTTCTGAGAAAATAGTGTTTACATTGAAAGTTAGGAACACCTCCAGTTGCAGTCACTCAGAGGGAACCAGAGGGACTTCGGAGTTGATGGAGGCATAATATGCCTCCATCCACTTAGATCTGCTGTCAGCAGAGCACAGGGCAGCACTGTGCACAGCATCCTGTGATTCAGTATCTCCTCCCTCTGCGTGCAGACACTGAACTTTCCTCATAGAGATTCATTGATTCTATTCATCTCTATGAGGAGATGCTGATTGGCCAGGGCTGTGTTTGAATCATGCTGGCTCTGCCCCTGATCTGCCTCTTTGTCAGTCTCAGCCAATCATATGGGGTAGCACTGTGATTGGATCAGGCTACCACGTGTCAGCAGACTGCTTGAGTCTAACAGCATGCAGAGTTACAGCTTCTGGCTTGAATACAGTAAGATTTTTACTATAGTTATCTAGGCATGACGGGCCCAGGGGGGCTAGATGGTGGTGTTAACACTATAGGATCAGGAATACATGTTTGTGTTCCTGACCCTATAGTGATCCTTTAAAAATGTTTATGTTGTAATGCTAAACAAGAGTCTTGCTGCTCTAGCTACTGTTTCTTCATTAGCCCAAACAACACAGAGGGGAAAAGCTAAAAAAAGAAACATTACCTAGAGAAGCAATATGGAGCTGTGAGTGTTAGCTGACAACTTTAAGCCTGTTACAGTGCCCCTTGCTGGTTAAGAATTGGAATGGCTAGAAGGGATTGTGTAACCTCTGCCTTAGGCTTACCTCCAGTGGGTGATAAGGAACGCAGATTTAGTATTGGATAGCTTAAAAATGGTTTAAAGGGATACTCCACTACCCAAACACATATTTAAATCACTTTTTAGTAGACATACCCATAATGAAACAGGCATGTATTTAATTGTGCATTTTTTTCATTTAGGGTATATCTAGAAACAGCACTGTGGGGGTATACCCTCGAGAAGATGGATTACTACCCCCTTGGATGACCCTTCCCACTGAATACAGCTCCAGAATGATTATACCCTCCTGCACAAAGTACCGCTGTCTCATCCAAACACAAGTCGAGACTTAGTGAAGGGTGAAGATGAACTGATTTTATTTATTTATATTTTATTGAATAAAGCACAAAAATTTATACCCACACACCCAGCATGGGCTCTCCATTCATAGTAGTACACGCCTGCCCAGGCGTCTTTGTGTCTGGGAGATAATTGAGTTAGCCCTCGGTTAAATTCACTATCTCCCCGACACAGAGAGCGCAACACACAAAACACTCCAAAACCCAGATAATAATGCAAAGCACCCCCACATGCCAAATATCCCTGGAAAGGTCTCTAGGGGGAGCCCATTCTGTCCAAAAAGCGCCCGGATCGGATGTGGCTAGCCCAAATTAGATGGAGGTACAAAGTTCAGCGGCACGCAGCTATCCTCCGATCCGACGCAGAGCTCCGCAGTACTGGATAGAGTTCCTCGTTCAACTAAATACAGAGTGCTTCCCGTGAGTACATGGAGCTCCCCAAAGTCTGTAGTGCCATTCAATGCCTCTCCACCTCCTCTGTTAACCCTCCACAAAGCACCCTGATTGATGAACCTGGGACAGAAAACGCTCTATTTGATGTTTTACAGGATCGCGGTGATTCTGCAATGCACTTTAGAGTTCCGCGCTGTTTTAGGGCTGCTCTTGGTCAGACGCACCATGTCTCAGCTCCTTCTTCCCCAGCCCAGACTTTCTATGGCTGACCAATCATAGACTTCCCAATGCACCTCAATGAGAAGTCTTTCCAGGGAAGGTACTCTGGGAAATTGCTGCCTCTTGAGTTTTGCTCCACTGCAGGTTGTCTGTTTGACAGCTGGGGTGTAGCAAGGTTCATTTAGTGCCAGCTTCTATAAATATCTGCACTTTTTGTAAAATAAAAAAATGACATGACACACTCTTCACACATAAAGCACTTCAACAAGCTTACGTGCTTTAGGTGTTTGGAGTGTTCCTTTAAAATCATATATAACCTATTTTAACAAACAGACTTACAATTCTAGATATGGCAAAAGCATTGTTGAGTGCTATGACCTCTACACTACTTGAAGTGTGGTACAGATGAGATGGCAGCACTTAAATGTGTCCCTTTTATGTCAGCTGAATTTTGTCTCCAAAATGGTGTGTGCACATATTTATATATCATTTTTCATGCTAAACGATGTTTCAATATTTCAGTTATACATGGATTATGTGAAACTTTTTACTATGGAAATACGCACCTTTTCATTTTTGTCTTTGACAAATATCTTAAAGGGACACTATTGGCACCCAGACCACATCAGCTCACTGAAGTGGTCTGGTGCAGTGTCCTTATTGTACTTAATGCTGCAATGTAGAACATTGTAGTTCCAGAGAAACTGCAATGTTTACTTTGCAGCACTAAGTCTGCCTCCAATGGCTGTCTCCCAGACAGCAACATGAGGCGTTTCCTGCATCGTAATGGACCTTCAGTCCAGTATCTGATGCTGGACGTTCTCACGTTCTGCATTCAATGCTTTCCTATGGGGAGGTCTAGGGCGCGTGCGTTGTGGGGCATCGGAAGAAATGAAGCTGCAACTCAGCGCCAATGGACAATGGCGCTGGGATAAGGTAAGTAAATGAAAGGTTTTAAAACTCTTTATTAACCCAGGTGGGGGACGCAAAGGAGGGTGGAGGCAGAGGGAGCTATAGTGCCAGGAATACAGCTTTGTATTACTAGCATTATAGTATCCCTTTAGGAGATATAAACAAAGAATATGAGATCTCTGAGAACGGACAAATACTTAGAAGAACTAAGTAGCTTGCCCTTTGGTAAATCTCTGCACAGGTCTCAAAAATGTTTTTGCTCACTTTTGCAGCATGCATTTCAAATGATGTGCTTGCACTGCACTTTCTGTGTACTTAGTATCTGGTATCCCCAGATGTAGGGCAGTAGGACAAGAATCCAGATTCATAAAGGCCCTACCTTTTAGGAGTCACTTGGAAGGAATGTTCAGGCTACAAAGGAAAACCAGGGAATGCAGTTCACAAATATATTAAAGGATGTAGCGGTACTTACCTTACCCGGGGGCCGGCCGAGGTCCTCTCTTCCCGCCACGCGCGGCTCTCGAATGAAGGCGGGCACGGACCACGAGATGCGGTCATGTGTTCCGCCTAGCTCTAAGAGCGTGCCACACGTCTCGGGCACGCTCTTAAAGGGGCAGTGGGAGCCAAAAAATTTAATGTGCTCCCATTGGCCCCTGTCATCCCACATTCCCCAGACACTCACATTTTGGGGGCGTGGATATGACAGGGGGCCAATCAAAGTAACCCTATCGTGGAAACTGTTTCAGTTCCCTTTAGCGCTTGTTGTGTTCAGTTGTGATTTTTGTGCTTGATCTTGGCTTTGTATCTGACTCTGTTTATCTCTCTATCCCTGTTTTGTCTTGTTTGCCGGCTTACTGACTACTGTGTACCAGACCTTGGCTAGTTTTTGTTCTCGCAGTCTCTTTGTTCCCTTGACCTCGGCTTGTTCTTGACTCTGTCTATTCTCTGCTATACGGCTAGTCCGGCCACTCTAAGGTCCGGTAAGTCGTGTCTGCTCTATCTGTCGATTGTTGGACTAAATCTTGCGTGTAGGGGTAAACTACCGTGACAAAGGAACACTGAACCTCTCTCCTTAGTGCTCCTTTTCGTGAGTCTGTCACTAAGTGTGTCTGTGACTAAACAGCCGCGTAATGAGTACCCTCTGCCTGGTCAACCTTCCTGCATAGATAAGAAAGTCTGTGCAAAGGTAAAAGGACAGGCCGTACATTAGCTGCAGATAATAGATCTGCAGCTATAGTAAGCTAAGGTTTCATTACCCCCAGAAGAAAATATGGAAAAATAATTATATGCATGTTTTCGTTACGGGTGTTTCCACTAGAGTGTTCTTTTTAAATTGAATAATTACACAATGAATGCTGTTTCCCTTTAAACTATTCTACCACTTCAAGTATACTATTATGTAATCTATCTATCTATTTACAGTTGTGCTCAAAAGTTTGCATACCCTTGGAGAATTGGTAATATATCTAGATTTTACAATAATATATGCAATACAACATTGTTAATATCATTTAACACAGATAACATGTTCAATAATGTATACAGCAGTAATAATATAATTACAACGATATTATATTATTTGTTTATATGTGACAATGAACATTTTTTTGGGGGGACAAAGAAAAATTATTTATTTGAACATTAGTATAAGGGGAAGGAAGATTAGGGTAGGAGGGGTACGGGGGCATAGAGGGGGATTTGGTACCCTTTTTGTATTTTTTTATGATATATGTTAAGGCGGAGCCTATAGTTGTGGGAGGGGTTAATCCGGCCTATTCATACCCAGACCTACCTCTAAATCAGTGCCCAGATTGATCCAGACTCCCACTTCCGGTTCCGGTCCAGCAGCAACCTCTAAAGCAACAAGGAACTCCTATTGCGCTCAGGCAGCAGCAATCCGACGACTGGAGTACCCCCCCTACCCCACTACACTCAGCCAGCCACAGTCAGGTCCCACACTAGTAACACGAGTAAACCGGACGGTCCCGAGCTTCCGCCAGCCCATCGCCACCGTTACTTCCGGGCCGAGTTCACCTCCGGTCACGTGAGTACCCAGCACGCCTCCTTAACCCTGGACACACAGTCCACCCGTCGGGGGGGAGGGGGCAGGGAGGCTGGCAAGCGCACACCAGCGCCAAACAACAACCCCCCCCCCCAAAACGTCACTACTGGCCCCGGATTCACAGTCCCCCCTCCCACCCTTCTGGGTCGCTCCCGGTCTCCGGACACACAGTCCACCAATCAGGGGAGAAAGGGGCCTGGCAAGCACACCCACGAATGCCGACTGCCAAAACTACCCGCCACCCCCGCCAAAAATGCCGCCTTCCGGGTCACTACTGGCCCCTGGACTCACAGTCCTCCCTCCTCCTCCCAACCTTCTGGATCGCTCCCGGTCTCCGGACACACAGTCCACCGGTGAGGGGAGCAAGGGGCCTGGCAAGCACACCAACGAGTGCCGACTGCCAACCCCCTCCACCCCTCACATATGTCCAATACACAATAGACGCAAAATCTACCCAGCAGGCAAGCGGAGAGGCCGGCAGGCACAAGCACCAAATGCTGAACCCCCCCCACCCCTCCTCCCCCCTCACAAATCGCCTTCAAAATCCCCATAAGCTCATGAGTACATAGCACTCAGGGCTTAGTTTTCAATTTCAAGTCTGTGGATATTATCCACAGCTAGTCGGCAAGTCCACAAGCACATGTCAGTAAATATGCACATCATGATTTTCTCCCGCCCTAACGAAGCAGCCATCACTCCCATCAACCACATCCAATCTACAAACCAAAAAACCCCCACTATTAATTCAGTTCCTATACCTGTTTTATCTAGGCAATCTATTACATAGGATACAAATCATTGGATACCACTCTATCATAAATACATAGGTAAGTAAGCGATATGGTCTTGTCAATACAATAACAATATCACGGTCGCACACTCATTTTGATCATCACTTAGGCTCTCAGGGACAACGCATAGTCCGCAAACGGCTACCCAGTATCCACCGGACAAGTTCGTGCAGGTCTCTGAGCCATCTCAGGCAACCCACTTGCCATACCAGTTTGCAAGACGTCAATTCAATTCCATAAGTCAAGGCTATCGTGCAGACTCGCTAACCAAAGTAAGTATCTTGTTTCCTTCCCGCCCATTTCTCCCTGTAGTAACCACCCTGTCAGACACGCACCTGACTGACCAACAGTTTACAAGGCCAACACAACGGCCCCATTTTCAATCACGGTCCCTAACCACATCCACTTTCAGTGGATAAAGCCATCGAACTCGCCACCAAGGCATGACACCCCCACATCGTTCCATAGTTTCACTCTACGTCACACGTAATCACGCTTATTTGGTCCTCACGACAAAGACCACTTCGCCCACCGGCATCACGGGCAAACTCACCATATACACGTACGAGCACCTCAGTCACTCCTCCATTACAAGGAGTCTCACTCCCCACATAAAGACGGAAACTACTCCCAAT